CATGCTTAATGGTCACCCTAAAGCCAAATTCACGAAATCATAAGAACACAAAGCAATCCCTGAAGAGTCTGCATGTCATGAGACTGTGTTCCAAGCAGCCTCACAGGGAGACATTACTTTGGTGAATTTTTCCACAGTGCAAAATCCGGTCCGTGGCTTTGCACCCTCAGCAGCCCGATCTATCAGCAAAGTGGGAGGAAATGCACACGCCGGAGGCGGGCTTAGAACTCAAAGAGCACAAAACGCTAAAGACTGCTGTCAAGATCCAAATATGTTAATTTACAACAAGAAGCAGAGTGTCAGAGCACAACACCCGTGGGGGCAAGCCGGCTCATTCTCTTTCTGTAGACACACCTCCCGGAAGAGCCAGATCATAATGGCAAGGTCACTTGGTGATGAAAAAATGGAACAGAAGTCTTACGTAACTCAAATGGAAGGCCAGGATTCAGACTCCAGTTCCACCACTTCCTGATTTACCCTGATGTCTCACAGGAGGGAGCAGTGGCCCCGCAGACTCACCTAGCAGCGAGGGGTCCACCCCCCAGCCCCCACCCCCCACCCCCCACCCCTGCAGTGGCTTTGGCTGGGAACTGCAGGCTCACCTCCGTGGCTCATCAGTCCCTCTGCTGAATGACAGACGTTTCCTTTAGATGTGTCCATGTCTAACTCTGGGAGACAAACAGTTACCCTAAAGGAACCTCTGCCCTCTCTGCCAGTGCCATTTAAAGGTGTCATCGGATTCGTTTCTTTTTTCTTCTTATTTATTTGTATCATCATTCTTCTTTTCTGTTCACGCCACCACCACTCAGGTGTTCTTCCGGCCCCACATCTCTCCCCCAAGAGCCTCCCCTCAAGCCTGTCTCATTGTCCAACTCCAAAGATCGCTACTACATGCACACGTACTTCAGGTTAAGGTTCTATACATGTGTTTTCCCATTTCCCCCTTTCACTCATAGCAGAAACTCCCAGTGAGTCCTAGTGCCTTCAAAGCAGCCCAGCACTGGCTTAACCTGCCATTCATTATTCTTTAGACCAGGCACCTGCGGCTCTCAAATGCTAAGAGTCTGACTCTTGATTTCTGCTCAGGTCATGATCTCAAGGAGCCAGGTGTCTGAACTCTCACATCAGGGTTTCCAGATAGGTGAGTTTTTGCTTGGGATTCTCTCTCTCCCCCCTTCTCTCTGCCCCTTGACCCCCCCATCCTCTCTCTCTCAAATAAATAAATTTTTTAAAAAATTTTAAAAAATTCTTTCATATCTGTGCCCAATTTATTATCACTTTCCTACTATATGAACCTTGGCTCTAGTTAAATCTACTGTTTCTTAATATTCTATGAGCACCCCTAATCCATGTTTCCGCTTGCTCCTGGGGTCAACTCAACATCAGCCTCCTCAATTAGAATAAACTACCAGCAGGTGGAGAAAATACATCTTGCATTTTTTTAAGTTTACTTATTTTGAGAGAGAGAGAGAGAATGTGTGCACACAAGTAGGGGTAGGGGCAGAGAGGGAGAGAGAATCCCAAGAAGGCTCCATGCTGTCAGCACAGAGCCTCACACAGGGCTTGATCCCACGAACTGTGAGATCACTACCTGAGCCAAAAGTAAGAGTTGGATGCTTAATTGACTGAGCCACCCAGGCGCCCCACATTTTGCCTTTTTTATATCTTGCTTTCTCAGTGCCTTGCTACCAAAGGTGTTCAAAAACAGGTGCTTAGAACTGGCCCTATCCGCTAGTAGGTAAAATCTCTGAACTTTCTTCAGAGCCTAAGATAGAATGTGAAAAGTATTACCCTTAACGGAAGAGAGATGCCGTCTCTTGACGTGTCCTTGGGGCATTCGTTAGTAGTTTATGGCTTCTTCTAGGCCCTTGGAGTGATTTCGTAAAATCACTGTGCTCCCCCACACCCTCATTGGCTGCATTGGCTGTCTGTATTGTTTAATACCATAGCTGAAAACATCTGTCAACTCCTGTTAGCCTCACTGTTAGTCTCAAAGTATAGGGCTAGCTTTAAAAATAGACTAGTAGTCTCGTATTTTAGAAATTGCAACCAGAACATTTAACAGCTACAATGATACGGGGGGGGGGGTGGCTATATAGAAAAGTACAATAAATAGGTCCCTTCAATGCGATGACGGAGTTGATAAAAGTCTTCAGTACAAAAGATGAAGAGGCAGATTTGTAAATTTCATTGGCATCGCAAAGAGATCAAGAAGGAAATAATCTTAAGCTATTTCATCTGCCATTGAGCCTTCAGCATTCTCGTTGTGTAATCACACCCTGGTCCCAAGCCTGACTGGAAAGTACTTGAAGAAAAAACTCTACCCTGCATTGCTCAAATACAATGAGCTGATTTGCAACAGCATCTAGTAAGACACAAGTTTTTTACTTCATACCAAAGTACTATGGCTCGTGGGGAGGACATCCAGAATGTTGTCAACAGAGTCCTCTGTGGTTGTGAAAGACATGAAAATACATACATCATCTCGTGTTTCATGGAATTTGGCAACTCTCCATCAGAAATGTTGGGGAACAATCTGGCTAAGTCTTGAAAGTAGGAATGAGAAGCCTAATTCAAAGTGGAATGAAGGTGATAATCTTTCCTAGGCAGGAGGAAATTGCTAGATGAAATGAAGGTAATTAAGCTTGATTAGTTAATTATGAAAATACAAACAAAATGAAAATAGTCTGATTGTAGGAAATAAAAGGAGGAGCTATGTTAAAGAGGAGAAATAAATAATTTCCTAGGCAAAGAAAAATTAACTCTTAGAGGTAGGAGGTCAAGAGTTAAAAAAAAAAAAAAAGTTCATTAGGTACCTGCCTATCCTCCTAATATCACAGTAAAATTTGAGACGAATTATGCTTGCACTGAATAAAAATTATAATGATATATTCTATTGTTTATAGATTAATACAAGATATGAGAAAGAAGAATTTTGTTAAATCGACATAATATTAAAACAACACAAAGCACAATTTTTCAAAACCTTACGTTTCCAATTAATATTCCCAGGAAAAGATTTTCCATTAATGAGTGTTGATTTCTTTCTTTTTTTAAAAAAAGTTTATTCATTTTTGAGAGAGGGAGACAGAGAAGGAAGAAGGACAGAGAGAATGCCAAGCAGGCTCCGTGCTGTCAGAACTCACAGACCGTGAGATTCTGACCTGAGCTGAAATCAAGAGCTGGACACTTAACTGACTGAGCCACCCAGGCGCCCCTCTTTCTTTCTTTTTTAGGGACATGATCCTAGAGTTCTAATAGATCTTCACGCAGGCTCATAAAACTAGACGGGAACATGGAAGGCTTGTCCTATATTCCTGTGACCTTCTGGCATAAGCACACTGAGATCACATTAAAGAGGAGACAATTGTCTCCACTTATTTATGACTGTGGACAAAAAGGAGCTACCATAGCTTTCTCTACACATCTACACTTTTTGTCACTCCACAAAAAGTGTAGGTGTTTAGCCAATATTTCACGTTATGTTATGTTCGGCAATTCTCCTAAGAGGTAGACAAGATTTGACTAGGAAGTAATGGGCTCCAGGCCGCCATGAGAAGAACTTTTATCACCTTACGATCGTGTACGATCGATTTAATCTTGTATCTAGAAATGCGGTTTGTGTTTTCAAATCTAGTTTCCTATGTTTGCTGCTCTCTAAACAAAATATTCCGTTTACCAACACAGCGTGCGCCGCATTTAAATAGTTACAGCCGGTCCAAAGCTGGGCTGCTGGGCAAGGAATTACGTGCTGCTTGTTCCCTCTGGAGCCCATCTTCTTGTGTGAGTTTCATACTGGCGTTTAGATTTTCCACACTTTGAACTGAGTACATAAATTTCTCACTTTGCATAAGAACACTCTTTCCCGGGAAAAAAAAGACTTCGTATCCACCTCACATACCAAAAAAGATTTTCTACCTTTATTCAGCTTTCCACGTACCTACAGAGTAACCTAGATTCTAAAATGAAGTATTCCACAAATGGAAAAGGTAGAAAAGCAGATTTTAAGAAGGCAGACTTTCCATTCTAAGTGCTCTTTTTTAAAAAACTAAGTTTTCTCATTCCTTGATGGTACATTTGGATTCTGAAAATTTAAGCTACTTCAGAGGTATCTGGGGTCTAAAGTGTGCATACTTGCCTGATGATGTTCAAACCAGAAATTAATCAAAAGGCTGTAAGGAAATTAAAATGTCACCCCGAAGCTCACCATAACAACTGTTTCACTGTATAGGATATCAGTCCAATAGAATAGAAATGGTTTTACAACCTTTAAATTTAGTCTATGGTTAAAATGACTTTCTCGTTTGGTCTCATACTTCAGTTTCTTCCTGAGAAACATGGGTAGACGTCCTTGGCTACACACACACAAATTTGTTAATTCATGTTCCTATCCCCTTATAATCAAGTTTCTACACCCTGGGGCAAAGCAATGACAGCTCCTTCCAGAAAAACACACGCCGTAAATCCTAGTATTCCGCAGGCCGTGTTTTATTTTCTAATCTTGGCAAAGTAAACGCTGTGAAAAACAAATACAACCTTCACCTTTCCCTTTTTCACAATCGACTAAAGAGTTGATTTAAAAATCATAAAAATCCGGGGACGTGTTAAAGGACAACTGAAGTACGATCGGTAATGGAAGCCTCTAGAATTACAGCGCGGCCAATGCAATGTTTAAGGTTTTCAAGAGTTGGGTTTTTTTTCTTCTTTCTTTTTTTTTAACAGAGAAATATATCCTCCATGGTAGGTTTCCACTAATCTCTGTGGCCAGGATGCCCCGATTTTATGAACCCAGGCCTTTGCACGGCAAAATGATTTTCTTTTTCCTGGAGCCGTGAGGTTAAGGAATGTTTTCGTAAGGGGTCTGGGGGGAGGGGGGTTGAATTTAACGACACAGTGGGCTTTGAAGCGGCCCCTAAAGCAAACACGCGAGGTTTCCTCGGGCTGCGGCTGGAGCATAACTAGCCTCCGCTCCAGACGGCAGAGCGTTATCGTAAACATACCTTGGCCTTGGGTGACTCCATAAAACTCAGCTGCTATCCTGGCCGCTTCCTTGCGGTTGCCTTTGACGATGTAGAAGTGGCTGAGGATGGCGAGGCTGATCTTCACAAAGAGCTTGAAGCAGAAGAGCGAAAGTATGGTGAAGTAGACATTGGAGAGCTGCTGCGCAAACGGCCGGCTGTCTTCTAACAGCGACATCGCCGCACCTGAACCCTGCGGGGCCGTCGGCGGCGCTGCGAGTCTCAACCGTACCCGGCTCTCCTCCGGATGCTCCCGAACAGCTGGTCCTGAGGAAGGAAAGCGTCAGCTGGTCACGATGCCCCGAGCTCAAAATATTTATACCGTCCGTAAAAGTTCTCCGCACGCTGCGATTGGCCTGACGCTGCTCGGTGGAAGCCAGGGCACGCACCACGTGCTCCGCCCGCTCGCCCGGCTCCTGACTTTCCGTGCTCCGCGTGGCACGACCCCCCGCAGCCCTGCTCCGGATTTCAAAACCCAGGCGCCGAAATCCGCTTGCAGATGATTTCCTTTTTCGGCGTCGAATGGTCACGAACGCTCCGAAGACTTCGCGCGTGCGGTTCCCGTTGTTAACGTAGACGATTTTCATCATAGGAAGATGAAATTGAGTCCGTGAATTCCAGGCCGTGGCTGCGTGATCTCAAGGACTCCTCATCAATTAGCTAACCATGTCGCTTTCACTTTATCAGAAAAAATTTTTTTTCGTATCAATGGACAGATTGGAAGGCCATCGAGTCATAATTTTAGACTGTTCATTCGTCTCGAGAACACTTTTTAAGCACCTACTTAGGTGTCAGATATTTTGCTGGACGCTGGGGAGACAAAGAAGAATGTAATGATGGGGCCATAAGGATCAGTAGTCTAGAGGAGCACAGGGGTAGGGGATAAATATCACATCACGGGAGCCCAAAGAGGAAGGGCCTGATCCTCCTAGGGAAGAGTCAGAAGAGACTTCTTGGAGGAGGTGGCATATGAAGAGACCTATCAGATAAACATAAGCGTTTTATATAGTCCGAAAACAAAACCACATAGGTCTGTCTTTTTTTTTTTTTTTTTTTTTTTTTTTTTTTTTTTTTTTTTTTTGGCCTGTAATCTTTAACCCTAACTTGAGTTAATTTGTGAATGAATTGCAAGTAGCTCTAAGGGCATTCTTAGGCAGGCTATATTTTTGAAAGACAAATAGAATAAATTATTAAGAAGAATAATGTAGAGTGGCAACCTTTTGGCACCTAAGTCAAAAAGAAAACACCAAAATAAAAAATGACACATTACACAGGGAGTTTATTCATACTTAAAAAAAATTATTTATTTATTCTGAGAGAGAGAGAGAAAGAGAGAGTGAGCGAGCACGACTGGGAAGGGGCAGAGAGGGAGAGAGAATCCTAAGCACGCTCTGAGCTGTCAGCAGTAGTCCATCCGGGGGCTCCAACTCATGAACGGTGAGATCGTGACCCGAGCCGAAATCAACAGTCAGATGCTTACCTGCATGAGCCATATGGGCGCCCCTATTCATACATTTTTATGACCAGGTTTGGTCATTGTTCAGTGTCGTATGCGTCCCAATCCTTCTGAGAAGCTCCAGAATAACACGTATTAACATACAGACTGAATAGAAGTGGATCGATACGATAAAGGAGCACATGGATGCCTGCACATATTGGTAAGTGTTCCATGCTTATCTGCCTTCGTCTATGGTTTTTATGCTGGTTATCTTATCTGATTGGAGTTACTACCATGAAACATTCCTAAGACAGAGGAGACATTGCTGTAAAATAAAGGTGCCCAATGAAGCAGGCTTCTTTCCCCAGTGACCGAGTGGCTCCCAGAAAAATAAATTAGGTCAACACATTAGAAAGAAACGACTGAGCTCTCTCTGAGCTGGTATTGTTTTCACAGGCAGAGAACTAGACCGTTCTTGGCCGTTCCTTGGACCCGGTGTGCCCTTTCACGTGCACTTTGGGAATCAATGAAATTACACTTCGAGGTATGGAAGAGAAAGGAACCAAACGTTCCTCTCTCTCACTGGTAGTAAGACAGTGTCAGTTAAGTCATTACATGACGATCACCTTCCAGTTAGTTTTCCCTCTGGCATGGGGACTCATGCGTGACCGCACCCGGAGAGACGCGCCCACGGACAGCTGGGCCATCACAATGCTCTGAGTCACTGCACTGACTTCCACTGCGGTGCTTTAGAATCAGAAGTAAAACCCGCCTAAGCCACATCCAAGTGTGCATCTAAGGTTTCACTCCTTCCTCTTTACCAGTAAGTGCTATTATAAATAATTATCTCCACATCAGCTAATCAGGGGCCTGGATTCTTTCGGGTTGAGGAATACGTTTATTTAAATAAGGCTGCCCTCACTGGGGCACTGAATTTAGATTCCTATGGTTTTAGTAGGAGAAAAATATTACTGACCAGTATGTAGGATTTGTTGTCAAGATGCCAGGTTTTATTTTAATGAGTTTCTTGATCTCTACCTCTATTTTTTGCATTGGAATATGCTCTCCTTTGGAAATGTTTACCATCCCTAAGTAACCACCAAATAAAAATTAAGGCTAAATAAAAATAACTCACAGTAAGTGAACTCATCAAATAGAAACTAATGTTGTGTCTTTCACATTTTAGACCCTTTTATATAAACCATGAATAACTTTATTAATATTTGGAAGACACATGAAACGTATTGTGTGTCTAAATACTTTTGCTATTGACCATGTTGAGATGATGTGGTATTGAGATGATATTTGGTTGATTAGCCCAGTACATCCCGACTGTCTTCATCTTGTTTCAGTCAATCAATCAAACCAAAATTGAGCTAAACAGTTGTGTTTCTAGAATGGACGATACAAGAGATCATAAAAGTGCAGGCGGAAGTGATTTATTGAAAATCCAGTATATGCTACATGTTTTATATAAATCTTCTTGTTTACTATTTTATTCTCTCTCACACTCATTATTATTGTTATTTACATTTTAAAGATGAAGAAAATTGGAGGGCTCCTGGGTGGCTAAGTTGATTAAGCGCCTGACTCTTGATTTTAGCTCAGGTCATGATCTCACAGTTGTGAGTTTGAGCACCACAACAGGCTCCTTGCTGAGCTCAGAATCTGCTTAAGATTCTGTCTCCCTCCCTCTCTGTCCCACCCCACCTCTCTAAAATTTAAAAAAAAAAAAATTGTTTTTTAAGATAAAGAAACTTGGGTTCAGAGAGCTTCGGTGACCTGTACACATTCATTATGAGTAACAGCGCTGTTTGAACATAGATCTGACCCTAAACTATGTGCTCAAGTTACCACTCATATTTTCTGTTTTTAGGCGTTTCCAATCTGAAATGAGCCAATGCGACTTATGCACACAGAGACTGAGACAAAGTCACACGGATTCACACACACAGTGAAGAGATCAGTCTGTGATTGTATTTAATCAGGTGCTTAAATTAGTACCTGAGCTAGTAGGGCAGGGGATACATGTTCTGATGATTATATGAGACAGAATCTTGTGTGAGCTCAACAAACGTGAATAAAGGAAAGGGGAGAATGTGTCATGACTGGGCTAATATTGGGGGGATTATTCAAGGTGAAGAATTGGTTACAGGAACCAATAAAAATAACAGAGAAGTAGCAGAGAGAGAGGCCAAGGAGTAGGGTAGTGCAGAGTGAGTACATTAGAAACATCGAGTGTTCGGGGCCCCTGCGTGGCTCAGTCGGTTAAGTGTCCAACTCATGATTTAAGCTCAGGTCATGATCTCACGGTTCCTGGGTTTGAGCCCCGCTGTGAGCGCAGAGCCTGCTTGGGATTCTCTGTCTCCGTCACTCTCGGCCCCTTCCCTGTGCTCTCTCTCTCTCTTTCTCTCTAAGTAAATAAACTTAAAAAAAGAAATACTGAGTGTTCAAAACAGGGTCAAATGACTAAGAACGAAAAGAATGAGGCTTAAAAAAGGATCTTAGGTCTGGCCAAGAAGTTCACTGGAGACTTCGTACTCAGTGTTTCAACAAGGGTAATGGGCTGGGAATGGGGACCTCATGTTAAGGAGTAATCCTTAAAGCAACTTCCAAAGCAAAGCAGTCTCCTTGGCTTCCCCCTCTTGTCACCCTTCTAAGGCCCTGGCTCTCTGCCCCTCCCCCATGTAGGTATCTAAGGAGAGTCATCTCTGTGGCCTGCCCCTGGGACCCCCCCCCCC